TTGGTCGGGAATCGAGTGCGATTGCACCCATTCCCGACCAAACCTAATAAACAATCAATATTTTTGGGTGACAGCTTCCAAACCATTATCAAGAAATTGAATATCAAAGATACTTTGTTGTCTCTTCACAAAAATTCTGAATCAACATTATTTCAACAACTCATGTATATTTTCAGCTGTAATTTTTGCAGTTATCATTTATTTAATATGGACTGCAAATGATGTAAAAAAATAAAGTAATTCTGAGATATAAGTGTGACATGGTCTGGATGATTTCATATAGAATGACTCTATTCGTAACTGATAAATTCTATCTATAAATTGTTTATAATCTTTATTAAAAAATATTTTATTAAATATGTATAAAAAAAAAGTCCTGATAAACAAGCAAAAGATTGTTTATTATAAGATTGTTTTAAAAAATAAACTATAAGGAAATATAATTAATTTTAAATGCCAAATGCTTGTTTTTATAAGTACGTATTATATTTTGTTATATTAGTTTAAATGGTTTTTAACAATTTTTAAATTTTTAATTATTAGTTAATATGATTTTTAAATTTAATTACAACACTGTACTTTGAAATATTCTAAAGACACAATTTAACTTATAACAATGTAAATATCAAAACTGTGTTAAACCAGCGTGGAAAATAACGGGCGGTCAACGGTCAATGACCGCCCGAAATGACTGAAATTGCTATTTTGACCTCCCAAAAAGAATTCTAGCCAGTCAAGGTTGACCAGTTGAAAAATCAGAATTAGTCAGAAAAATCTTTTGTTAAACGCAATTTTAAATTTTTCAGATTTCATAACACCGTAAAACTTTGATAAAGTGTCTAAAACAATTTTATTGCTTATATGCTACTTTTTAAAGTAGAAATAATTAATAAAATAACTTTTATTCACTTCTTTGAAACGAAGCGAATTAAAATTCGCATCGCTGCAACGTGAAATTCATCATCGTTTATTAATACTCGTTAATGCTTCGACGAGTATTATATATGGCGTAAACTATATATATTAATTTTTTTGCTTCAGTTATTGAGATCAATTTTATTGAGTGTTTTTTTCCTTAACTGATTTAAGTTCTTATTTTATTATTATTTTAATAATAATATAATATACAATAATAGATGATTTTAGCTAAGCACTAAATTTATTTTTGCTCTCTCTATATCTTTTTATTTATTTTTCTCATAATTTTTTGTTGCAAAATGCATTTAACAAATGGCTTTTTTTTTCTTCTTATTTTAAGTTTAATTTATTCATAGTCAATAGAATTTTAAATTATTAAGAAAGAGCAACACACCAGGCCGCTCTGTGATGAAAATACAGTTTTTATATTTCAATTACGTTTATATTTCTGATGCCGGCGAAAAGAAAATTTGTATTTGAAATTTTTGAGGTTGTTTGAATTTCCGCATTTTAGGTCAAAGCATTTAACACGCTTTGAGTTGTCTGTGTTGTCAAAGCATTCAACACGCTTTGACAACACAGTTGCTGAAGAAATTTTTTCACTGGGAATGTGAACAATATGTTAGATGCTTGGCATAGTTTAGTTGATTATACTGTCAAATATTTGGCACCAGATAAAACTGAGTACCGTAAAGTATGGTATCAAATTTTCTCAAGTACTATGAAAAAAGAGTGGAGTCCAGTTCTTCTTCTTGTTGAATTTTTGTTTGTATTGCCTGTTTCGAATAGAAAAGTTGAGCGTCTTTTTTCTCTTATGAATAGAATTAAATCTGACACAAGAAATCGATTAACCGAAAAACGGCTAAATAATTTAATTTAGATATGCACAGATGAAACAAACAGTGACGAATTTGATGTAAATCCTGCCATTGAGTTATGGGCCGAAGATGCGTTGCGAAGGCCTACACAAGAAAACACAAAAATTTATTAAAAAAAAAAGAAAAGAAAAAAACTATAAAAACATTAGTTGATTTAGAATTGTCATCAGACGAAACCTAAGATTTAAAATCGTCTTCCGAAGAAACTTTAGATTATGAATCAGACAAAATGTATCTTTAAAAATATATTTTTAAGTTACAAAAAACTGTCTGAAAGGAAACATGCATTCATTAATTTTAAATCAAGTCTTTATTTTATTTACATGTCATGAAGAATAATTACTGAAATAAAAATTTTAACAAAGAAAAAAAAAATTTTGACCGCCCAAAAAAAAATTTGACCGTCAGTTTTATGTATTAGCCGGTCAATTTGACCGCTCGTCTTTGATTTCTTATTTTTCACGCTGGTGTTAAACTAAGATTTGTTGGTTTTATGCGTTTTCATTATGCAATGAAATAATAACATAGATCTCATAACAAATAACCAAGATCAATTTCCTTCAATAAATAACATAGATCTCATAACAAATAACCAAGTTCAATTTCCTTCAAGTCTTTTAATGTAAGGCTTTGTGACACTAAAGATACTCTATATGTTGAATTTTAAATATTAAAAATAGTTTAATGTGTTAAGCAAAAAAAAATTGCTAAAATATATAATGTCCTGAAAAAAACTAAGCTAAGTTTCAGGCTTGGTCGGGAAGCGGGAGCAATCGCTCTCGATTGCTGACCACGTAAATAATATTTAGTTGCGAAAAGCTGGCCAGATTTTTTAGTCGTTTTGAGAACATTTTAACAAGCAAAAAAAAAAGCGCTTAAGATTAATTGGACCGATGAGAGACAATTACAAAAAAATATTCATAAAATTAAGCGATGTTTTTTGTGTAAAGTAACATCTTACGATTGTTTAAAAAGGAAACAAATATTCTTTATTAAACAAAGTTTGCAAGTTTTAGTTTTATTTAAGCTAAATTATTTTATAAACAAAAAAGCTAATTTTTATTAATACCTATTTTATATTTCGCGTAGTTTGAAAAGTTTAACATATTTGAAGCAATTCTTCTTAGTAAGATAAACAAATGAAATAATTAAATCATTGAATTACTATAGACATTAAATTAACAAGATAGAAATCAACTAAAAAGGTTAAAAATATGACGAGGAAGCGAAACTGCTTCACAATATCGCTGATGATGTTTAGTGATTGGGCTTTTTAATTAGTAATTAAAGCAGAAAAAAGTGTAACGAGTTTTTTTTGTAAACAATTAATATATATTCTTAAAACGATTTATGCTAGAAATCTGAAAATGTAACAAATCGTGAATAATATAATTTCTAAAACATTTCAACAAAATTTTATTTCGCTTAGTCAGCGTATTTTTTGATCCAATAGAATTAGTTTTTAGTGTTCGCGAATATTCTTTTTATTCTTTCGCACCAAGATGTTTTGAGAACATTTAAGTTTTTTATGTTTCCATGTATGTCCGTAAAACAAAAATGTTTTGTTTCGTAAATAAACTTAAATGTTCTCAAAATGACTAAAAAACCTGGCCAGAGTTTTGCAACTAAATATAATTTCCGTGGTCAGTATTCGAGAGCGATCGCTCCCGCTTCCCGACCAAGCCTGAAGTTTGACTAAATAGAGAAAATTTAAAAACTCTAAAATAAAAAAGAAATCTTAGCGAAAATTAAAAAACTAAATCTTGAATAAAATATAATAAAAATAAACAGAAAACTATTTTAAATTTTGTTTATAATAATGGAATAAATAACTTTAAAACTTTCAACGTTATTTAATGTTTTAATAATAGGTAATAAAATTATTTTCTCCAAAAGTATAAAAAAAAATTTAATAAAAGTTTATTAACTTTAGGTCTCAAAAAAAATTTATAAAGATTTTAAGAATTACAATCTTTTTTATTGAAAACATTGTTAAAAAAAATGCTGCTACAAACTGTCATAAAAAATGAAAATGTGTTTTTGTACATAAAATTTCAAGAGCTAATTTTAATTCAAAATTGCTAATAATTCTGAAATCTCTATTAAGTTTTGGTTCAAAAAACTTAAAAATTTAAAAAAGATGTATGGGACACATCAAGTAATTAAGGGTCATTGGGAGTGACCTTTTTCACAAGAAAGAACTGTTGAAGAACTTTTTCTAGAAAATCCAGTTTTGTGCCAATTAATTTTGAGCGTTTTTCCACGCTTTTTTTTTTTCTTCCAGTTTTAAGTTTTTTGCATATGACTTTGACTTCTGGATAGATAATTTTTAAATTTTTCTGTAGGTGGATCAAAATCCATTATCACTATTTTTTGTTTTCTATTGCATTGTACCCAAGCCTTTTCTTTTTCATACTTTTTGAAAATCTTTTTCCCATTATTAGTAGTTAATTAGTAGATAGTTTCTTTCTTCAACCACAGTATAATTTTTTTTGTTATTCACCTCCTCAAGGCCGAGAAGGCCACTACAGACTAGGAGGCTATTTAATAGTGGTTATAACCCTCTCTCAACTCTATTACTCCGAAACACGAACCTTGACAAACAAGGCCGCTGCGCGGAGAAATAAGTTGAGTGCAGTACTACCAGGGACGTGGTGAGGATCAAACTCCGAACCTCTCGCTTATGAAGCGAGTGTTTTACCACTACACCACTACCGCATTAGTTAAATTGGAAATTATACACGAGGTCAAGTTCCATGCCACTCTGAATATCAAAAGTTAATATATAATATAATCAGTTCGATCAGGTGGCATGAAATAGTTAGTACGTAAATAATCGTATTTTTAAAGATATGTTTTTGTTATACACTCTATACTTTTTGAATAGTGCAAAAAAAGTTTTAACAGAGTTATGCATAAGATAACACATCACTCCATATCTATGGAAAAGTTTTTAGTGTAAAGGTTTTCAAAATTATTTTTTTTTACTGAGTATGTAATTCGTTGAGTTGTAAACATTTTAAATTACATTCTTTGTTAAATCAAAATGATTTAAAAGATATAATCAAATCTGTTGCAAAATATAGAGCATCAAGTTCTATTCAATCATTATTATTAAATCAACATTTATCTACATTAATTTGAAAAAAAGATTTTCATAAGTTATTAATTACTTTATTATTAAATTTGAATTTTTAAATTTAGATGTAAATACTCTAAATGGAGAAGCAAGCGTACACTTTACCAACACAAAAGAAGGCAGACCTTCTGGTGAATGTTTTGTAGAAGTTTGCTCTCGAGAAGATGTGGAAAGGTTAATTTTAAATATTATTAATGATATATTTATTTCATTATAATTTAATGATTGAAAAAAAAAAAATTAATGTGTCGATGAAACCATGAATATAGTTGGGTTTTTTTTTTAATGAAAATCCATATTGCTTTGCATTCTGTGACATTGATAGCCTGAAAATTAACCTTTAATATTGGTTTTTTTTAAACATAGAAAGCTGCCACCCATTATTATAATTTTGATCAGTCATTGATTTAAATAGATGGTTATAAATACTAAGAAGGAGATGCAGCTTCATTGGTGGAATGAGTTTCAAAATCTTTTTTTTTTTGCTTTTGTGCTTGAAGTTTAGACTTTAAATTGATAGAATGCATCAAAACATTGAGTTGTTTTCTTTTTGTGTCTAAAATGGTCATTAATAATGCTCTCTTAAAAGTATCTTTCAAGAATTTATAGAAGTGTGTGAAAACTGATTGGACAGAGTGAAATATTTAAATAACATCATATCAAGCTATTTTAAAACACCTAAAGTTTTTCAAATAAGTTTTTAAATTTTCAACTAAATGGTATTTAAATGTCATATTTAAATAAAAAATGGCATTATGGAAATCATCCGCACCACACAAGTGGTAAGTAACCATGTCTTTTTTTAACAACAGCAACAAAAAAAGGTCTTTAAAATGCGTGGTAATATAATGTGAGCAATATAACTGTTTTGATTTTACGTTCTAAATTTTGTGTAATTTTTAACCTTCACATTTTTTGGTGGTGTACACCACTAATTAGATTATTTAATTGGTTTGATGCTCTAATGTAAGTTAACCACTTTATATTGAATATTCTAATTTATATGATGTAAACGTAAAAGCATTTACAAAAAGCTGTATACAATATTCATTTGACCTACCATTTTTTAGTCTCCAGCTCAACTAGTGCAAACAGGGAGGTTGAAAAACTTTAGACTAGAGTTTTCAAAGTTTTCTTATTTAGAAGTTGTATAAATGCTGATTGAGAACAATTGTTATACAGGGAAAAAAAATTCGAATTTAAAATCAGTTGGAAATAATAATAAGATGTGTTGTTTTTAGATATCTTTTCAATTTTTTTTAATTTCAATATTTTTAGAGCACTTGCACATGATCAAGATCATATGGGAAAACGTTATATAGAAGTAAAAGAAGCAAAGCAATCAGAAATGGAATGGGTTGTTAATCGTATGGATAACAGTCGATCTGAAGCTATTGTAAGGCTGCGAGGATTACCTTTTGATTGCACCAAACATGATATTGCTGAATTTTTTTCAGGTATATTTTGGTTCTTTTAGGTAATGAAATCTGTATTAAGTTTGTTGTATATCCTTATGTAATCTCTTTAATTTAATTAAAATCTTTTAAATCTATTTTACCTTTTTAACAAACTTTTTTGTAGATTTCATTGATGTTGCTTAAAATTATTAAATTTTTTCCCTTCTAATAGCTTTCTTTATGTAATCATATTTTCTTCTCCTAATATTTATGTTCTGTTTGTTTTGGGTTGAAGGGTTGGATATCTCTCCGTACGGGATTACGATAACTATGAACCAAGATGGAAGGGCCTCAGGGGATGCTTACGTAGAATTTGTTACACAACAAGATGCCGAAAATGCTCTTCTTAAACATAAAGAAAAAATTGGGCACAGGTGGGATGGATAAAGTTGTGGTTTTCCATTAAGTTTAATGATTTTCTCTAAAACTGTTTTTGTTAATTTTTGTTCTTACTGTTATTTATAACCCAGGGTTATAAGTTTATGATTATTATAACATTTGCTACAATATCTTATATAGAAATATGTTTATACAGGGCTCATACTTTAAAAGATCTGTTTTAAAAATTAATTTTAAAAGGTAAATTTGGATGTTGGTAAATTTTATTTAATCTTATACTAGAGTTTTAAATATGTGAATATTTTCATACTCTAAAATTATTTTTAATTTTAGAGTATGGGCCCTGTAATATATTTTGATAATTTTAAGTTTCTTGAAAAAATTTTGTTAAAAGTTAAATATTTTGATTTTTTTTAATGCCTTTTTTCGGAAATGAGTTTCAGGGGGTCATTTAATATGGATTTATTAGTAAGGAATTAGTTAAATCCAATATGTAATGGCTCTATTACATGTCATATTTAATAAGATACAACTATAAGCAATTTTAAATTTAACTTTAAAAAAGTACAAAGAAAACGATCGTTTACTTATAATACTATTATTATTTGCCCCCTTGCAACCCATAAATTTATTTAAATAAAAATTGAACACTAGTAAGAAATAAAAATAGACTTTAAGTGGAAAAATAATTTTAGTTATGCAATTTGTGCCACCCTGATATATTAAGTATAAAAAGTCTAAAAATTATTAAAAATATATACTTACAACATTAAGCGATTTTGCCACTTAATTAAAAGCTTAATTCTAAATTTCAGCCGCTTTTAATCTTAGATAAAAAAAAGTTTGCAAAACACACTCATTGATTTTTTTTATTATCAAGTGCAAGGGGTGTTTTAATTAGTATAACATCTCAAGTTCTTCATTATATTTATTAAACTATTAAAAAAACATATACTTTACTTATTTTATTGGCATTATTTTAATATAAAGTCTAGTAAAAAATATATATTATACCGCATATATACTTGAAAGTAAAACAAATATTTTTGTTTTACTTTATGTATGGTGTAATATTATGTATAATATATAATATGGAGAAAAAATAGAAACATCAGATCAATCTTAAGTTAATGTTCAAATAAACTATTTAACATGTTTAAATATTTTAATATTTAAACAAACTAGTTCTAAATTTTTGAAACAACTAGAAGTTGAGGCAGACCTATCAAGGTTTCATAATTTTATAAATCTAACTAATTTATCATTTTTATGATCAGAATATATGTTGTTTATCATTTTCTTGATCTTTTTTCTTAACTTCCTAGATAAAATTACTTGTGTTTAAAAATGTAATAAAAATAAATGTCTTTAGAGCAACAAAAAAATAGTGTTATTGTGTTTAACATATTTTTTGTGAAGTGGAGTGGCTTGTAAAGATGTTTTTGAATTAATTTGAACTTGAAGAAAAAATATGTATACTCACTAGCTCGTTTTTTCTAAAAGTTAAAAGCTAGACAATAAAGATGTTTAAAAAACAATTTTTGTTGTCTTAAAATTTCAAAACAATCAGTGCCATACTCACCATTAGTTTGGAAAATAAATGTTTATGTAAGTTACTTTTCTACTCCCTGACCTCCCTTACTTTTACATAATGTCCACTGTGCTGTCCAGTATGATTGTGCTGAGCAAAGAAAATAATCAAATTTCATATCTGTAGAATGAACTTTAACAGCTCTTTCTTAGCATTTAAAAAATTGTTTTTTGGGTTATCTTCTGTGCTGTGCATAGTTTAAAGTATATTATTTATAATTATTATATATGAAGGAAATAGTAATATAAATTCATAGTTACTAGTAGTGTTGAGTTCCTTCTGTGCTGTGCATGGGTTTTCAACGATCGTTTTTTTATGAGGTTAATTTTTTTCCTGTACAAAATCTATTGATGACTCCCATTTATCAAATTTATCTAGACCTACAAAACAAATTATCTAAACACAGTACAGATACAGATACAGTACTTTTATGATTTGTGTAAAGGAAATTTAAGCTTTATTATTAAGAAATATTGTTTTCTATTTTTGCAAGGCTTTTCACAAAGAAACCATAAGTTATTCTTGCTATGTATCTGTTTTTGCTCTGAAAATAGCCAGATCTAACTTTATTGGTTGCAACTTAATTTCTTTTTCTGTTAGTATTTTACTGCCTTTTTAAAATCTTGTTTCTCTTTATCTTTTATGGTCTTTTTATTTTAGTCTTTTTAAGTGGAACTAATAGTTTAATCTAAAAACCCAAACTTGTCAGTTTAGGTTTTCCACTGTCACAAAATAAAATTTGTATGACATACAAAAAATTGTTACAAATAATTTTAGTTTAAATATTTGTATTTAGTGTTATACCAAATATTACATATATTACATACATATTAATAGGGAAAATGATTTCAGATTACATCCTAATGATTAATTGATCTCTACGAGTTTGATTAGTCTGCAAATAGTCAAATTTAAAAATATTTTAATTAATTTTTCTTTTCTTATATTCCATTTACTAATCCAAGTATAATTAAAATCCAAGTTTTTAAAAAGCTTACAAAATAATATAAGAAAAAGATCTTGGCGATTGTTGCAACAACAAAAAAAAATGGTTCCAATTAAATTATTCTTTAAATTTTGAAAATGTATATGGCTGCAAAATGAATAACAACAGCTTATTAATCTTATCCTGATTTTAATTTTTAAATTCTCTTTTCAATGTTTTCTTTGTGCAGTTCAAGAGCATATATTTATAATTTCATGCAATTTATAGTAAATGTTTTTTTGTTAAAAAAAATATAAAATACTAAAATGAAATTTAAAAAAATATATAAAATACTTAAGTGAAAAAACTACATATTGCTATGCTATTTTGCTAAATTTTATAAACTAGACTTCATATTTTAGGTTTCTATTTTGTTTTGTTATAAATAAATACATTGAAGGACATAATGAATTGTGGCTGAAATTTTGAATTTGATCTATAATAAATCATAAATTGCTTGTAATAGCTAAAATATAATGCATTCATATTTTAATCATACTGAAAAATATTTTGGTTATAAATCTTTATAAATCATATACATAAAAATTAAATTGCTACCTTAAAGTAACTTAGTAAATTTGCTTTATTTTGTATATAACAGTTTTGCAGTATTTTTAACTTTATAAACCTATATAGTTATAATTATGTAAAAAAATATAAATATGGATTCATAATTTTTGTTAGTAATTATTTTTATAATGGTAATGGTGATTAGAGGAAAGGTATGTAATTTGTAGTTTGTACGTTCTTATAAGTTTAGGTTTGCTACAAATTTTACTTTTAATTGTAGTTTCTAAATATAAGTCTATTATATGTTATTTAATGAATATGTATTGCATTTTAGATACATCGAGATATTTCAAAGTTCAAAAGATGACATAAAATATGTTGTGGGTACTCGTTCTGATGATCATAGACCATCTTTAATGAGTATCAGGCCTGGACCTTATGATAGACCTCAGAATTTTAATGGACCAAGGCATGTTTTAATAACTTAATTTAATTTGAATTAAACATTGTGTATTGAATGTTCACATGATTTACTTTTAGGGTTTATATAACTAGAATACTTTTATACTTTAATTTATTTTTACATTTGTTTATCTTGAACATTTTTTTTTATTTAATTACTGTTGATCATCATGTTTCTAGTCAAAATATTAGTTAAAAGTTGTAATTCATCATCCATTTGTTTTCTATGCATCTAGTAAAGCAGTCATTCAGTTTTCTTCAATGATCATCAATTTAGTATTAAAATTAATCATAAATTAGCTAAAGAAAGTGTTGTACCTTAGGAAAGGTTTATTTTGAGACAAACTGCCTTCTGTCTGTGGTCAGACCAAACTAACCTTTCTTAGTTTTTATCTGACCACTAAAAGTTATTATATAGAAAGTTGCAACTATTTAGTGAGTTTTGTGGAAGCTGCGCAGTAAAAGTCATTGATAAGTAAATATTTGATGTTTCATTGTTTTGTTTTTCTATTTTTGTTTCTTTTTTCTGATTTAAAAATTATGACATTTAATTAAACATGAAAATATGCTCTTTTTCCATATATGGTTGATTAGTCTGTTCAACTTATCTAAAACACTCTAACAGTCACTTTGTTCTGCTTTGCAGTGTGTTGTATCTTGGAACAAAATTACTGTTGTACCTTGAGATGTCTTAAGGTTTGTTAAAGAGCAAAAGAAGATTAAGAAGCAATAACGATCTGTAGTTAATAAGAAATTCTTTTGTGATACAAAGAAAAAAATAATCACAGGAATAAAAATCAAGACATAACTGTTGACACTTCTAGTTCAAATGATGAGCAAATGAATTTTCTCATCTAGTGAAGAAAATTGATATATATCTATAAAAGAATTATTTCAAGGAGTTTTGGAAGAAGAGCAGGAAGGTAGAACAGTTTTGTGATAAAGTTCCCCATTTATTTCAATGCGTATGACATGCATATAGACCAATATTAGAGTTAAAAAAACATTTTTTTTTTAGGTCTGTTCCTCTTTATTTGCTTTTGTATCCACTAATTTCACTTAGTCTTAAACATTTTTACCAACTCTTTTAATTTATCCCAAAAGGGCAATGCCCTAAATCTCAATTTACAACCTGATGTTGTACCTTGTGACACATAACCAGGGCATTTAAAATATTTTATTACTGCCTTATATAAAAATATTTTTTTAAATTATAAGATGTTGGCGTGTTGTTTAAATGCTGGGCTTTATTGTAGTATGTAAGAATATAATAAAACCATATGCAACTGAAATAAATAAATAATGAATAAGTTTCCAAGTACCAACCCTACAATTAGTTTATTTAAAAAATAACCATAGTAGCTATGTAATCTAGTAATTACGTTATAAAATAAAATTATGATTCAAAAGGATTTAAAAAAAGCCAATAAGTGTGTTAAATGTTTTTAAACATTAAAAATTGTGTTCCTTACTAAAACTATTGTTTAAATATATAAATTATTATGTTTATAGGCGTGGTCGTGGTGGAGTACAGCTAGGACCAAGTGGTTTTAATACTGCTCCATCTTACAGTGGTGATTTTGGAAGAAATAGGTCAATGAATAGAGGTACGTTTTGTTTTTTTGTTTTTTTTTTTCTATAAATTTTCATTAGATCTAATTTTTTTTTAATTTTTATTGATAATAGGGGGTCGAAGTGGTGGAATGGGAATGAGCAAAACTCCAACTGTGCAAAGTAGCAAAACTGGTCATAGTGTTCACATGCGTGGTCTGCCTTTTGAAGCTTCAGTTAGTGATATTGTTACATTTTTTTCACCTTTGAATCCTGTTGATGTGCGTTTAATGTTTGAGCCTAATGGAAGACCTAAAGGTGAATGTGATGTAGATTTTGCAACTCATAGTGATGCTGAGTCTGCTATGCTAAAAGACAAGCAAAATATGGGTAATTTTTTTTTTTTTTTACTTTACATATATGTATATATGCAAGTCTCAATTTTACTGTCGGACATCTTCGATATCTGATATATGGAGGCAATTAACCATTGTTTATTTTTACTGAAAAAAAATCAACAATGGTTGGTTGCCCTCCTCTAGCAGGTCTCAAGAATGGTTAGAGGGGTAGCAATGTCTGGCCATTAGTCCTGATATGTGTGTCTTTATATGTATATATTTCTTAAATAATACTATTATTAATATTGAGAAAAATTATTTCTTGATGTTTTAAAATTATATATATATATATATATATATATATATATATATATATATATATATATATATATATATATATATATATATATATATATATAAATTTAAAAAATACGGCCGTGTATAAACATTTATACACAACTTTACTTTTATATAAAAATATATATTTTTTTATTTTTAATTTTAATATATGTTATTCGATATTTCACAGATCTATTGTGATCAACTTCATCAGGTATAATAAAAAATACCTGATAAACTTGATGACACTGATCATAATAGATCAGCAAAATATTGAGTAATATATTTTAAAATAAAAACAAAAAAACTAATATATATTTTTTCAAAAATATATATTTGTTTTTTTTATATTTGCAGCCATATTTATTGATTTTTGCATATATTTTATTGTGTAACAAGAAAATGACTTTCAAAGATTATAAATATGTGAGGCCATGAGAACAAAAGAGGTGTAACCTATAAATTTACAAAGTGTTTTTTTTTTTCGCATAACATAACTCTATAAAAAACTTAAATAAATGTCTCAATAGATAATCAAAACTGAAAAGCTGCTATGAGTTCAAAAACAAGTGTGATAATTCAATTAAAAAACTACGGAATTTTGTTTTTACTATTTTCTCCATTATCTTAATATGTTGCTTTTGTTCTTATGGCCTCATATATACAGGGGCTATTATAGGAAAATAATTTGGCTGGTGGTCCCCCTGTACCAATGTACCGTAACAAAATTAGCCGTTTTTTTAACGAAGTTTAGAAATTGAGGACTGTTTTTGCAAAAAAGTTCCTCAATTTCGAAATTTGGACGGAGCACCAAATACTGTCAGCGCTGTCAAAAATGATCTAGAATAGCCCATAAATGCGAGTTTCCACTCATCCGTTTTTCTACAGGAACGGGATAGGAAAAGAAAAAACAATCACGTAAGCATGCATAATAAAAGTTTTTATTTGTCCGAAAGAAAACTGTGCATGCTCACGTGATTATTTTTTCGTTCCTTTTCCTTTTCCCGTAGAAAAACGGATGAGTAGAAACTCACCTTAATATATATTTCCAAAGTATCCATTCAGCACAAAATGTGTAAATATTCTAATAAATAAAACAACTTTTTTAATTTTTGTTAAAAACCATTTAATTTATTAATACTATATATATATACAGGCCTCGGCGGGAAGCAAGAGCTTTAGCTCTTGCTCTCGTCCACACTCCCCTAAACGGTTTACAAGAGCAATTTACAGCTCTGGCAAAAGTATAATTTTTCTTACGAAAGTATAATTATTGTTGCAACTAAAATAAAAAACACAATGTGATTTAAAAAAAATTAATTACATAATATAGTGTAATTAATTTTCAACAGCTCGGTGATCGGCTCAACAAGAGCCTGTTTATGTTCAGCTCGAATGGTAAACAAGCCGGGCTTAAACAAAAAATTAGGCTCGTTTATTAAACGAGTCGAGCTTGAACATCATAGGCTCATTCATATAGGCTCGATTAAAGCTTGAATATATACATATTTATTTATATATATTATAATAATATATACGTAATAAACAAAATTGATATATATATATTAGTATATAATAAAAATATAGTGTTAGTGTAACCATATGAGATATGACCCATATAACTTAGATTAACATAGATTTGTGGGATCTTATTTCATTATGTTGTTTATTTGCATGTTTAATAGACTGTAGGATTGTTTATGTTGTTTGTTGATTTGGACTTGCATTATTTACAGACGAGCCTTTAACGAACAATTTTTTTTACTAAACAAGCTTTAAACTAACAGGTTACAAAAATTATTTTGAGTTTTAAACCAGTTGAGCTTGAGCAACATGTAAAACGAGCCGAGCCCAAACAATACTAATCCTTAACGAGCCGAGCTCGAACAAAAAATCTCATGTTTGAAACAAGCTTGAGCCAAGCCTGAACATTCTTAATATGTAAACGAGCCGAGCCCTGGCAAGCTTGGCTCGCTCGGCTAGATTTACAGGCTGTAAATCTAGCCGAATATGTCTGTGTGTGTGTGTGTGTGTGTGTGTGTGTGTGTGTGTGTGTGTGTGTGTGTGTGTGTGTGTGTGTGTAAAAGATATATGGTTAACAATATAATATATTGTTAACCATATATCTTTTTAATATATATTTTAATTATATATTGTTATCTTGCTTTATAAACTTCATCTTTCTTCTTTTGGTAATTTTCAATTATAGTGGTTGCTTGCATCCTTAATGGAAGTAAAGATGTTTATATATATATATATATATATATATATATATATATATATACATATATACATATATACATATATACATATATACATATATACATATATACATATATACATATATACATATATATATATATATATATATATATATATATATATATATATATATATATATACACGCACACACACGCAACCCTCGGAATTAAGAAAATTGAGGTCGGCAATAATTTGCCGACCTCAATCTTATAGAGGTCAGCATCAGGTCGGCAAAACCATTAATTTTTTTTGCCAATCGCAAACACGTTTAGGTCAGCAGTTAGGTTGGCATTGCCGAATGCTGACCCTAATTCCGAGGTTATATATATATATATATATATATATATATATATATATATATATATATATATATATATATATATATATATATATATATATATAAATATCAAGCCTTCTCAAGAAAGACATGGTTGCATGTCTTATATGATCACGCACGCAGTATTTTGTTTTGACAACTTAGCCACCGCACTTTGCGTGTTTTGACAATTTACATGTTTTAAAAATGTACTGAAAAAACTTAACTGAAGAGAAAATTTAAAATAAACAAACCATAAACTGAAAAGAAAAATAAAATCTCAACAAGTAATAAAACAATTAAAAGAGAAACCAGTAAAAAGAAAAACATAAAATTAATATTTTTAATTCAGAAGTGTCTCAATAGATTAAAGTTAATAATTTTTTTAATATTACTACATTAGTTTAGTGCTTAAGGATATACTAATGAGTTTGTGACTGTTTATGCGATGTTGTAAGAAGATTCAAATCCTTTATTTTCAAGGTAGACATTGAAATATCAGTTTCTAAGTTTTAAATAATTAAATTTTGAAGTAATTGCTTGGATTAAATAACTTAGAAACATCTTTTCTAAACCTAATGAAGTGAAATACTTTTAAATAAGAATAAAATTTTATTCCTTTAGTATTTCTGGTTTATCTTTTTTATTTTAAGATAATCAATTTAGTATTTTTTTTTTTTTTTTTCTTTAATTAATTTTTTTTTTTTCTGGTTTAAATTTCTCTTTTCAGTTTATAGTTTTTTTTTTTTTAATGCACTAATTTTCTTAACTTGCAAAGAGTCGTGGCCAAGTTGTCAAAACAAAATATTATAAATGTGGTCATGGGTCAATTAATGCCAAATGGACCAAAATTTTAGGATTTCAATATTCAAATTTTGATGAAACTTGGTTGATTGGTTTATATCAATAAGAAAAGCAATTCCAGAAAATTTCAGCATATAATATTTTGTGGTCCATTTGAAATTTCTTTCAAAAAAAGCTTTAGTAGCAAAAACATGTTTTGTTCATACTTTAAAGCTATATATTTTTAAAAAAATGACTGCATATAAAATTTATTAGTAGCTTATTGTACAAGGAGCATAATCTTTTAAATTAAACTTTATGTAGTGTAATATAGTTGTATCATTTGAAATGTATGGTGAAGTGATAGGATTTGTTAGTGTAAACTGGCCCCTGTTATGTCTTTTGATAGAGTCTCCACTCTTTCTATGTGAAGTAGCATAAAAAATGCCATTCTGCAGATGCCTCGTTATCTTGTTCATGGTGACATAAGTAAGATTTGTTTTTATAATTTTTGTATTGTAAATCTGTACCATCACTAAAATAAATGCAATGGGTAAAGTAAGGCATTAACTCTCTTCAATGTTTTATTACTTCATAAATAAAGCAATGAACTGAATTTGGATTTTGTTGCAAATGATCTGAGATAATTGTATCACTTTATCTTATTTTCTTTCATATAGTAAATAAAAAAGGATGCAATGTTGCTTGATTAAAATTAAAAAAGGATATTGCTTGATTGTTGTTACGATGGAAACCTTGTACTACATCTTAAATTTAAAAACTGTAATTTTCAGCGATGTCTAGTAATACTAAAATATAATCACTTGGTAATGTTTATTTTAGATGCAGCAAATATGCAGTTTGATTTTTGGCTAAATAGTGATGATCGCTCAATTGGTCTATTTGTTGACAAGCTTTTTCAAAATTACTATTAAATAGTGTACTAAGTATCAAGTGCTCTGAGTTCTTTAATAAATTTAAAGTTTGAGGTTCTTTATTTTTCTTTAGTTTGAGGTTTTTTAACAAATTTAAAAAACTAAAGTACCAAAAACTATAAAACACATAAAACCAAGTAACTTGTTTTCTGTTGAGTCTTATTTTTTACAAAATTCACCAGACCTACTTGTGAGACTAATTTGAGTTCAGCTGATATTGTGATCTTAGTGAGAACAGGTCTTCAAGTTCAAATTCAAATAAAGCAGTAGTGCCATTTAGAAATCCAATACTGAGAACTGTTTCATCCCATCCCATGAAAACTAATGTCAAAAATGTGCTTATCTACATATCATATTATCTCAGTCACTACATGATAGTTAGATTCGGTCACTACCCTGACCCTGGTTCCTGTGCTTAAACTTTTTTGTGGTCTAAATATTGCATATTAAGTTTGTTTTTCTTTTGTTCTCTTTGAATCATAGTTTTAATAATTACTTTAAATTGGTCGAAACTATGTTCAGATCTTTCAGAACTGTTTATGCTATAAATACGCCACCTCAACTTGAAACACCGTGCAGACTTTTGCATAGTAATGGTGATCTCATTTATTCAGTTTTATTTTTTCTGTTTTCATTTGTCAGCTGTGTCTAAATAATCAGTATTTTAGCCTGAGTCAAATAAAAGTGTCATCAGTGTCAGAATTTGGAGATGGAGGATGAGTTATGGATGTTATTAGTGAAGGCATTGATAGTAATGTTGGTGGTGCTATTGGTGCTGATGGATTGTATAGCTCTGAATACTTGGGTTTCTTTCTACTAATTGCATTTTTATTAAATTGATAGAGACCTATATTTTAAAAACACTGACTGCATGTGATCTATTGAAAGTCTGCTCAAATGAATATAATTTATCAAGCAAAAGAGGAAACGTCGGCTTTTCAATATTTCTAAAACCTTTGTAGTGTTGTTGAAGAATTGCTTGCCAAACATTTTTAACGTAACATAGCATTTTGCTTTTGTAGAGTAGCAAAATGTAGCAAATAATCACTGTCTGTATTGCAGCAATTATTGATATTGTAATGAACTTTTTCAATATTGCCACTAATAATAAGTGATCGCCTTGCTTCTATTCTAATTAAGACTATTTTTGAACCTTGATCACACTTGAACCCGATTTGAACCCGCAGTTGAAAAGTATTTAATGGTGTACTGTATTTATATCTTATTTTGCAGGTCACCGTTACATAGAATTATTTTTAAAGTCGTCACCTAATGCGAGTGGATGGAGGTCTGAAAGTGTACACCCTCGAAGTATGTAATCAACCTTCTTTTTTTTCTTTTTTTTTTTATGTTTGGATTTATATATTTAGAATATAAATGTTAGATTTATATATAAGTTATATTCTATTTTTAATGCATACGTTTAGTCTTATTTTTTCATTATGTTTTAGACATATCTAGCGGACCAATGCTCAATCCACGTCGTGGAAATATGGGATGTGATGTAGATGGCGGTGGTTATGATAACGGAGACAGTTATGGAACTGGAGGTGGTGGTTATGGGGGAGGGTATGGTAATTCAGGTCCAAGATATGGAAACAGTTACAATAATGGTCCTTCAGGATATAATTCTCGTGATGTTAGTTATCCAATGCAGAATCACAACATTGAAGACAATTTCTACGGTAACTAAAGTACATAAAGACTAGTTGTTTATTTTTTATGTCACTGTGGTCAACGTTTAGAATGTAATCAATTCATTTGAAGAGATCAAAGACCTTTCATCTGCTAGTAAAAACGAAATTAACTTGATATTAAAATTAGGCATGTTTTATGGTCTTTCTTTTGATTCGTGGTTGATTACACAGAAAGTAGATGCCGGCATAAACTTATGTTGGAATGTAAATAAGTTTTAATAAAGAAAAGTTTTGCTTTCTTGTGTTCGTTTTCCAGTTTTTAATTTCTATTAAAATCATAAGAAAAAAAATTTATTTAATAATTTTCATTTATTGTTTAATTCACCAAATAGTATACCAAGGAAAAACTGACGGACAAATCCTGTCCGTCAGTTATCATAGAAACACTTACCGTCAGTATACATACACAGTTAATTCCCGGTATGTCGAATACCGGTTAACGAATTTTTGTTATCCTGATAACAAAAATCAAAAGGACCAAACAAAAATAAGGATATTCGTTAAATATCCTTATTTTTGTTTGGTCCTTTGAAATCATCTATTTGATTACTATTAAAAATCTCTTGTTAGTCGAACATTCGTTTAATCGAACCATTTTCTTTGGATGTTTGAATTATCGGGAATTAGATGTGTGTGTGTGTATAGATATTTATAAATATATACATACATATATATATATAAATATATACATATATATATATATATATATATATATATATATATATATACACGCATACAAAACTAGATACATTAGAAACAGTTTAATATATTGAAAAACTATCTGCAGAAAAAATTACATAAGTAAAAGTACCGCAAACAGGACACTCTTCACAAAAATCTATATAACTTTTATTATTGAGAATTTGTAGGATTTTTTTTTTCTGGAATATAGTGGTTTATTAAAGCAATTCTGCAGTGTATAAAAAAATTAAAATTTAATTTCAAGTTTCTATTAAAAAAAATATATACATATTTTTTTTAAGTGTCCGCTTTTCGGAAAATTGTCCCTAAAAGCGACAGTTCCAAATTATATGAAAAACACAGATAAATTGATAAATTTAATATTTTTGTTGTTAAATTATACACAACAAGGGGCAATAACAACACAAGGGGCAACAAATACAGGCTAGAAAGAGAATACGTACCATCATGTTTACCGAGATATAATTTTTTTACCAATCGAGTTTGTAAAAATTGGAATTTGTTACCAAATGAAATCATTGAAGCAACATCGTTGAATGTTTTCAAAGCGCGAATAGATAAACATTTTTCATAACTTGTGTTTTTTTAATTTGTGTGGGCTGTCTTTAACCCAATGCTTGCATCGCGTTCCACAATTTATTTTTAAATATTTATATTTAAACAAATATGTAATTGTTACAGCAATAAATATTACTACTATTACTATTATAATACAAGCAGAAAAAAACAAAAGCAGGCTTGAGCTTAAAATAAAAAATTTATGAACTAAGTTCTGCAGCATTTCGTGCAAAAGAGTTATTCGCCTTTTATACATATCTTTTTGGGTGACAAGATTCATAAAGCCACGAACTGTAACTTGATTTTTGTCAAGTTTTACATAAAATTTGCATCTCTGGTTTTTCATTTTTCAAAAAACTTTTTGTACTTTTTTTGGTTTTCTTGGCAGGAGTTTCCACTTCTGCTGCTGCAATTTCAACGTATGTTCGTTTTAGCAGCTTCGCGTCTTCTCTTAACTTTTTGTACCATGCTTCTGTTAAAGCTTGGCCAGTCATTGTTTTACATTTCTGGCTTTTTTTTACATGATACTTGAAAGCGTTTTGAAGTCTTCAAGAAAGCTCTTTCAAGACTGATTTTTACACAAGTCGCCGATTTTTCTTGAAATTGAAGTTGCAGACAGAATTAAAGTTTGTGTTTGTTGAGCAGTTTGAGACAACGAAATGGGCTGCGTGGTGATTTTGTAATTGCTGATGATGTCATTAAGGTGTTATTAAAAGTTTGACTAATTTTGATTTGTCAATGTTGTCTTGATTTAATGGAAAGAGCCCAGTGTTTTCCAAACCAAGAATAATTTGAGTACGAGTGTAAGCTTTGTTGCTTTTATACAACTGTGCAAAAAGACTGGGGAAAATTTTCTTTGGAAAAGTTGCTAAAACCATTTTCAGCATAAAATTTTTTTAAAATACCAGGAACGCACTCTTGTCAAACCCCTATTACGACGTTGAGCGTCCTTTGCGTCCGCGAACTCGTATTTCTAGGAAATAGACAAAAATAGGGTATATAGAGATTTGCGCAACAGTGTGCACATACACCGACTGATTTTTAGAGAGAATATGCAGCGGAGTGTGCAAACAACGACTGAGGGTTTGGGGTAGGCAGGTTCTCTTTAAAATGTCTTCATTTAAAAGACATTTTTTTCATTTAAAATTCGCTTTTTTACATTTTCCGACCTTAAGGGCAGCGTCGGAATAAGGGTTTGATAACAGAACCTACCAAAATACCACGCCAAACATCTTTAACATAGCAAAATACACCAACATCAAGAGATTGCAGAATGTGAGATAAATGAGTGGGAATAAAAATTAGTGTTATATTGTTTTCTTTACACTTTAAGGTTACACTTAATGACACGTGTTTGCTGTTGCTATCGAAAGGTAAAATATGTTGACCACCAATTTTTTGAATATGAGGAATAAACATTTCATTGAACACTGCCAAAATTAATTACTTTCCATACAACTAGATAGTGATGTTGTGTAAAGTGCGTTTAGTGGGCCTTTAATCCAATCATCATAGAGTCGATTCTTTGATTTGAAAACAACAAAGAAAGGTGTAGTTTTCTTTTCCGTTTTTTTTCTCCAGTTAATACTAGTGGACGCTTTGCACCTCTTCTGGCAATTACTTTCGCATCGCCTTTGTCACCAATGAAACCAGTTTCATTACAATTCCACAAATGCATGGCTTTACTAAAACCTATTTTTGCTAAATCAAAATGTTTTTTCAAAACAATTATATAACGGCCAATAATTTCTGATGTACATTACCCTGCTCTCAAAGTTGCGATGTTTGTAGCTGTTCTTTCACTTAGTTCTGAGTGCCATCAACTCATAAATTCTTTGTACCATTTGCGACCAGGCGTTCCATTTTTGAACAAACACGTTTCATTATTTTCATTAAATAAACTCTCACTAAACTTTGAATTTATTCATTTTTTAAATGAATAATTTTGTCATACCTCATTGCAAGGTTTTCTCCCTTTAAACGTCGTTCTTTAACTTCCGCAAACAACTTTTTTCTAATATCAACTTTTTCTAATATCAAATTCTAAAATCCTTATCCAAACATGCACAGTTAAACAACATGTCTAGTTTTGCCTTCTAATTTTGAACTATTAAAGTTAGATTGCTGATTTACATTTGAGATGCACCACATACTAAACAAATAACATTGGTAGGAGTTGGTTGTCATGGAAATAATAGTTTGAACTTTTTTATGTATCATTATTAAGTTTACAATATAATGTACTACAACTTCGTTTATTGTACCGTCCTACATTAAAACTGATACAACGGATAATGTTATATTTTTAATAGAAGCTATAATTGACTCATACTTAGCAAAAACTACAACTTTTGATTCTTTTTTGTATATAAACCTGAGAGGCGCGCAGTAACTAGTTAAAGATGATGTCGGAGTTTTCCAAACAACTTTTTTTTTTGTCATCTTTCAAAAAATATAGTTCTAGAGGAACTAAGAAAGTTATAAAAAGCGATTCATCAGTATTAAGTTCACTCGCATCATCTGACTATCGTTTATTAACAGCCTTGTTGCATCATCAAAGCCAACTGTTTCATCATCAAAGCCAACTTTGTACATTAGAATTCTAGTTCAATCTTTGGGCACATGCGAATTTAAAACAACATAAGCTGAACATTTTCCTGATGTAGTATGAAAAAGAAGATCTTGAAGTTGTATTTCTACAGAGTAGTCACTGATCTAAATGTCTTCAGAAAAGTATTTTTTTTACTATCTATATAATAATGCTGAACTTAAAGTAGTAGTGCCCTTTCGAATGTATTTGAGACAGAACTCTTGGCAGCCATTGCAACAGCGGTAGTGGTGAGAAAGAGTCGCATCAATTTTTTCATAAGAAAAAGTAAACGAAAGTGTATGCAAATATCTAAATTATATAAACTTTTAACTATGTAATGTTAAAACATATATCAAGTTCTACAGTTCTTCTTTCACTTAAAAGTTGCATTGCGACAACATTTCTTTAGTTTAATCTATAGCGTATTTATTTTGGTTTTATAAAGTCTTTTGTTTGTTCAATAGTTTCAAATTTTCATCAGCCAACGCGCATGTGTGGCCGAGTTAGCTCGCAAAGTTTCATAAAATAAAAAGGTGTGGTTCAAATCTTACCACTGGAACCTTTTTTTTAATTTTTATTTTTGTTATTCTGCAATACAAAATATAACACTTTTGAAGTTTTATAGAAATTATATACATAACATATGTAAAGGTATTACACCCTGTAACAAACGAAACAGAGAGAACTTTTAAAAAAGCCTAAAATTTCTTAATACATTAAGTCGCCGGTAGAAATTTGCTGCGCATATGTCAAGATAGTTATGTTATCAATTTGCTCAGGTAATTAGTCTTAACAGGCTGCGGATGGTCTAAAAAAAGTTAAGTCTGAAACCTAATTAAAAAAATGTTTTGTATTAAACGGCTGATTCGACCAACCTCCCCGTGATACTTTGTAAATTTAATACAGTCTTGATTAATGATTGAAGTTTTAATTTTTATGCGTTGAATTTTTCGTAATCGAATCGCTACATCACTACTTTACAGATTTTTTACATTGTCATTCGTTTGCCCTTTATTTATTCTAGATACTAGAAAAGGAAAGAAAAAATATATGTATATAAAAAAAAGGTTGCTAACCTAATTTAGGAAACGACTCTTTTTCGACGCTTCGTTTAGCCAATACTAAAGTTGTAGTAGACATTTTTTTGAAAATGATGAAACTTATTTTGACGAAGCAATATCAATATCGCTTCATCAAAATAGGTTTAATTAAAAAAATATTTAAGTTGTATTTTTCTCTTAAAGAGAGAAAAAAATGATTAATTTAAAAGAATATTTAACTAAATCATTTATTTTATCTCTATAAAAAGTTGGGTATGAACGTTATAAATACATAGTTAAATACAACATTACATCAGTAACTATTTCCAATAGTTACTGATGTAACGTTGGAAATT